CCGCGGCCGGCGCGTCGCCTCTGCGCGCAGCTCCCTCCCATTGCTCGCTGCGGTTCTCGGTCCCCTCTTCACACTTGCAGAAAGCGCACTCTACCGCGGTGGGAGAGCATTAGTCCCAGGCCAGGCACAGCCCAGTTTCGGGGCTGCGAATCCTTGTGTTCGGGGCCGGAATTCTGCGCAGCCCGGAGCTTCTGTGGGCGAGTGGGTTTCCTCTGTGTGTGCTGGTGGCTGCGCAGGAAACCTTAGGCTGGAGACTGAAGGATCCCGGCGTCGAGCTTGCTCTGCACTGGCCGACAGCGGCGCCCAGAGGTTCTGTGTGGAACTGCAGCCTGGGTTTTCTATCCGGGAATCTTTATTTTTGGAATGTACCAGTTGATAGCTGACATTCTTGTACTCGGTGATTCAGTTGTCATCATGAAACTTTTAAAACTTCATTACTATTATTTTTTATATATTAAACTTTTAGGATGAGTTTGAAGGAAGTCTTTCCTTTTAATTTTCAAAACTTAAAAAAGGCATAAAATAATACATAGTGAAGGTCTACAGGTCTCCTACGCCATGTTCCATTGCTATCCAATCCCTCCATTCTAAGGCAGTCACTACTGCTCTTTTCCAGAGAAATTATCTGGTTTAGGATGCAGCTCAGTGGTAGAGCTCTTTTCTAACATCTGCAAAGCCTTGCATCACAGAGTAATTTTCCCTAGCACTACAAAGTAATTTTCTATGAAACTAGAAGTATAGAATATAAGAAAAAAAACCTCTCTTTCTTCAATCCTAGATTTTTTTGGTTAGAAAGTAACAGCCCTTCTTTTCGTTTCTCTATTTATAAACCACCCAAGATGTCTTGTATTGCTTTTTAAATGATATCTAAAAACATTGCTTATAGTAGTTACAATGCTGAGAGTATTTTAAACTTGTATTTTTTGAAACAATAGAATTACCTGAGATAGGTACAGAGTAATTTTAATGCTCATGGATAGAAGTTTAAAGTAGTAGTTTTAAGGATGTAAGAGTTAATAACTATGGCTCTGGTGTGTGTGTGCAACCCCTCTACAGACCTAGAAAAAATAAATGTCAATTGACATGGAAAAGTCATGGTGTCATATGCTTCCAAGCTTAGCACAGTATTAATAAGAGATCTAACCAAATATATCATTATCTTCATTGAATTAAATATAGCCATTAATACCTCCACCCATCATTTATTTGGAAGAATTTTATGTATTTCTTTACTTATGTTCTGATGTCTTGCAGGATTGGCATTCTTCATCCTCAGTTTAACTTTCACTGTCAGAAGTTTTGGAGTTTCAGATAGGTTTCCCTCTCTACATTAAAGAGCCATTGATATAACTTGCCACAAATCCCTTGCTCCTGTTCTTGGAAATATGTACAATTTTCTTTTCCCAATCTATATTTATTTTTAGCCTTAGTATTGGGTAATTTAATTTTTTAAAAGACAAAGACAGCAGAACCCCAAATCTCCTCAATTTAATCCACTATTGACTCTTTAGAATTCCTGTTGAGGTAGTCATAGTGGCACACGCCTGTGACCCTAACACTTGGGAGGCTGAGGCAGGAGGATCACCATAAGTGCGAGTCCAGCTTGGGCTACCCAGTGAGTTCAAGGCCAGCCTGAACCACAGAGTGAGATTTCGTCTAAAAAAAGAATCTCTGTTCAGCAAGGAAAGTCAAATTAAAAGTTGTATCTTCCACACAGCAGTATGAAGTGAGAATCATATGTGAAAAGAATACCAAAGTGTTAACAAGTATGATTATGGTTGGAAAAATCTAAGTAAACAATGGTTTTTTTTTTTTTTTTCCGATAGCAGGAATCCAACTCACAATGTTGCACTTGCCAGGCAGGTGCTGTGCCACTGAGCTAAATCCCCAGCTCCTAAGTACACAATGTTGTAAATTAATTATTAATAGAAAATTTAAATATCTAGGAAATGTATTCAATGGCAACTGTCACTACAAGATATAGTTTAAAAACTATAGCTGCAAAGGCATATTGCCCTTCTCTTTGGGAAGAATTACACTGAATAAACGAGCTTGATTTGTGTTTCTAGTGAAGCTAACACATTTGGTTTCTGACATTTACCTATTTTTATCAGACCAGCCTTAAAAATAAAAGCTCAGGTTGTCTAATGGGCCAGTTTCAGCTGTGGCCACCTAAGGAAAAAACACAAATGGATAGACACTTCTGTACGGGAGTTTCTTTTAGGAATTGTTAATGTTGTACTCAACAACACTATAAAACAAGAGATTCTGCAAAGCTAATTATAACAATAGGCATCCACAGTGGTAGGTAAATTTACTAGAAAGTTTTAAAAGTCAGTTTAAATCATCAAATTCTACTCTTCAATGTTTTAGCAAGAGGCAAGTGTCATAGAAAGACAAAATTATTTTTAAAAATAGATTTAAATTTTCTACAACTATACTAGAAACCTAAAAGCAAAACCATTCTTAATGTTTAAAGGGGGGGGGAGGAAATAGATAGTAACAGTAAAACTCACTGGAACCAAAGGAGTATCTTCTATAGGAAACTTGGAATCATCTAACAAAGACAAAGGATCCTTTTTCTCACAGCTCTCCTGGCTGATAAGCGTGTCTGCATAGTTGGGTTGTGGGAAGATCAGGTGGCTCTTTCTCGAATCCGCAGTGAGGGAGACCTCGTGGGAGTAGGTCTGTAGGAAGGCACGAACCCCATCCACGCCAACAAAGTGGGAGGCAGGTACGCCTGCCAATCCTTCTCCAGAAGCCTGGAGCTTATGAGACTTATGCCAGCGCCGCAGTTTAAATGCCACTAACACGATAACAAAGGCCAAAAAGACACAGGAGACAGCAGCCACAGCCACCACCAGGTAGAGAGTGAGGCTGGAGGTGCTGGATTCCTGAACAGGTTCCAGGTTGCCTAAGTCCGCCAGAATTTCAGGGATGCTGTCAGCGACTGCTACGGTGAGTGTCACAGTTGCTGAGAGAGGAGGCTGGCCATGGTCCTGCACAGCCACCACGAGGCTCTGCTTGAAGGCATCTCTGTCCAACAGGGTCCTTGCAGTTCGCACCTCCCCTGTGTGCAGCCCCACTGAGAAAAGTCCTGGCTCACTGGCCTTGAGCAGGCGGTAGGACAGCCAGGCATTCTGTCCTGAGTCTTTATCCACTGCCACCACCTTGGTCACCAGGTATCCAGGTTCTGCAGAGCGGGGCGCCAGCTCTACCCCAGTAGACCCATCAGTGGGGAAGGTGGGGTACAGGATCTCTGGAGTGTTGTCGTTTTGATCCAGCACAAACAGGCTCAGTGATGCATTGCTGCTGAGTGGAGGGTTCCCGCTGTCGCCGGCAATCACCTGTAGGTGCAGTTCACGAAACTGCTCATAGTCGAAGGATTGGAGCGCATACAGGATGCCAGTGTCGGAGTTGATAGATACATAGGAGGATAGTGGTACCCCTTGGATGGTGTCTTCAGCCAGAGAGTAAATGACCTGGGCATTCTCTTTGCTGTCTGGATCCTGAGCTGTCACTGAGAAGATGGATGCGCCCCTGGGATTGTTCTCTGGGATATAGGTAAAGTAGGAGATTTGAGAGAAGGTGGGTGGGTTGTCATTGATGTCCGCCACTTGCAGGATAAAGTGAGTTTCCATTGATAGGGGTGGACTTCCACCATCTTTGGCTGTTACTGTGATGTTGTAAGAGGATACTTGTTCTCTGTCAAGGATTCTGTGTGTCACTACTCTATAATAGTTGTCTATGGACTTTTCTAACTTAAATGGTAGATCCTCTGGGATGGAACAGGTTATTTCTCCATTCTTACCAGAGTCTAAATCGTGCACATTTAAAAGAGCTATGACAGTTCCCAAGGGTGAATCTTCTGTCACTGGACTAAACAGAGATGTGATGCTCACCTCTGGACTGTTGTCATTTACATCTTCTACTGTAATCAGCACTTTTGTAGTTGCAAGATATGCTCCTCCATCTTCTGCTTGTATTTCTATTTCATAGTAATCTGTTTCTTCATAATCTAGATGGTCGGCTATTTTTATTTCCCCAGTTTTGGTGTTCAGTTGGAATTTCAACAATTGCGTGTCAGGTAATTTTCGGAACGAATATGTCACTTCTCCATTAGCCCCTTCGTCCTTGTCAGTGGCGGTAACTGTTAGCAGTTGAGTGCCTACAGGTAAGTTCTCTGGAACATTCACTCGGTATTCAGGCGAGGTGAAGACGGGCGCGTTGTCATTTGTATCAAAGACAGTCACAGTGATGAGGACAGTGCCGGATCTGAGAGGGACACCCCCGTCAGTGGCGGTAAGAACCAAGTGGTGAACAGCCTCTTCCTCGCGATCCAGAGCACGCTCCAGCACCAGCTCCGGGTGCTTGACGCCACTGGCACGGCTCTGAACGCCTAAGGAGAAGTGCTTATTGGGGCTGAGCTGGTAGCTCTGTAGGGAGTTCAAGCCCACATCCGGATCAATGGCTTCCGGGAGAGGAAAACGCATTCCTGGAGCGACGTTTTCATTGATTTTTACGTCTAGATTTTCTGCTTGGAATTTGGGGGCATTGTCGTTGATATCAGTTACTTCTATTTCTATCCCGAAAAGTTTCACCCTGTCTTCCACAAGGATGTTAAAACTCACCAGACACCGCGCGCTCTGGGCGCACAGCTCCTCCCGGTCTATCCTGCCCGCGGTGACCAAGCTGCCGCTGCGCGGATTCAGAGAGAAAAGCTGCGTCCTACCTCGGGAGACGATGCGGACTCCGCGCTCGGTCAGTTCCCGGGGCTCCAGCCCTAAGTCCTTAGAGATGTTACCCACGAAAGAGCCTTTCTCTAGCTCCTCAGGAACGGAGTAGTGGATCTGCCGGGCTCCGCATTCCCCGGGCATCCGCAGGAAAAGCCACAGGATGACCAGCTTGGTGCGGTAGCGGAGATTCCTTTGAGAGGCCATTGTTGTCTGATGACGGAATTCTTCCCAAATCCCGGACACGTACGTTTTCAACTGTTCCTTTTTTTTCTTCTGTGGCTGTAGGGATTCTCCGTAGCGCGCACCTTACACTGTATTCCAGAGTGAGTTTCGTTGCTGCCCAGTAGAGGATTTTTAGGAACTGTGGGGCTTTGTGCAGTTGGAGTCCTGAGAATCCGGACCGAGCTATGTGTTTCTCTCCTAGTAGGTGAACAGCGGCGCTCAGAGTCCTAAGAAGTTATTGCACCCATTACAGTTCTAGCAAATGCTATTCTGTGTGGATTGTTTTAATTTACATTGATTGTCTGGTTTCTCCACTTCTATTTTCTTGAGGGTTTTTGTTTTTGTGGTCCTGGGGATCAAACTCAAGGTTTCACTCTTGCCATTGTACCACTGAGCCATATTCTCCCCTCATATCTTTAATTAATCACTACTTGTAGGTTTCTTACTGGTGTGTGAGACAAAGTGGAATGAACATACTATAATATATTAAATGATAATTCTTGGCTAAATATACATTTGTCCAAAAAATATGCATTTGCCCAACAGGAATGTATGCACTTACAATGCTTATTTTACGTTCTATGAGCGTCTACCTATAGCAGAAAAGTCTTACAATTTTTTAATGAAATTATGACATACATGTTTAGTAGACATTTCTAAAGATTCTGTATTATTCTGCTTATGAGCTAAGTGACTTTGAAGGCTTTTATTTTGGATTTAATTGGTTTAGCTTAAGATTATCTGAGAGGTTATAAAATGTTCTTTGCTAAAACAGTTTCACTGAGCCTTAATGAGTCTTTTTTGAAAAATGTACTTTTTCTTATAGTTATATATTAGAAGTAATGCAATCCATTTAAGTGAATTGAATAGGTAACTATAAACTCAAATGTGCATACTTTATAGTTGCCTATTAAACTGTATATATATATAAGAATTTCAAATGTGAAAAAAAATAAAAAAGTAGATATAGTGATGTAGGTTTTTGTTTCCTTTTCCTCCACACTGAGGACTGAATCCAGGCCTCACACAGCTAGGCATGTGCTCTACCCCTGAGCCACACCCTCAGCTTGTGCTGTAGGTTTTTTTTGAGAAAGGATCTCACTATGTAGTTCAGGCTGGCCCTGAGTTCACTATGTAGCCCAGGGTGCCCTTGAACTTGAAGTGATCCTCCTGCCTCAGCCTCCTCAGGCTGGGACTACAGGCATATCCAGCTGTGCCGTAGACTTTCAACAAATTAATTTTGTGTCAAGTAACTTTTTTTTTTTTTTTTTGCCAGACTACTGATGCCAGTGTGGATAATCTCTTCTCTTAGACAGTTTGTATAGGAAGGAGCTCAAGGTAAAGCGATTCACACACTTTCAGCTGTGCATGGTTGTCAACGCAGCAATAGTTCTCTCAAATATGAAGGGTTTAGAGCTTTACTTCTTTCATACAGAAAGTGGATTGTTCCAAAGTGTTTATGTTGGGGCTGGAGATTTAGCTCAGTGGCACAGCGCCTGCCTGGCAAGTGCAAGGTTGTGAGTTCGATTCCCGCTATCGGAAAAAAACCAAACAAAACCAAAACCAAAGTGTTTATGTCATGATGTCACCAAATATGGAAGTTTTCACAGATTTTCTCCCCTGCTTCAAAGATCTTAAAAGATTGACAGCAAAGGTCAACAGCATTTCATTTGGTTTTGTGGAAATTTTTCTTCCAATGTAGATGTTAAAAGATTGGGAAAGAATACAATTTGAACTCCAAAGGACCACAAATATAGAAGCAAGCCAGAAAGACCAAAAGTAGGCAAGGAAAATTGCTGTAGGATAGTTAGTAAGTCTTGGGTACCATAGAAACCTGGAAATATAAATGGGAATTTGAATCCTCTCCCAAGAAAAATGGATATATCAACACCTTTGCATACAGTTTCAGAGTTCATACATCTGCAGGCTACCCCCCCTCAAATACTTTCAAATAATTTTGAAAAACATTAAAATAAATAAAGAGAAATAAATAAATAAATATTAAAATAAATAAAGAGAAATGCCAAATATCACACAAGAGATTATTTGCAATAAATGCTTCTTCAAGGGAGCAATTGAATTGGATATTTAATGCATATCTGAATATTTTAAAGCATTAAAACATATAAATAGCATGTGGAAATTTTTTAAGTCTTAGCAAATTTAAGTGAATAAGTTATTTATTAGGTTAGAAGCAAGAGTACTTCTGTGTTTGCTAATCAGAGCTTAACAAGATATCTCTAATTTTTCTCACCCCATGATGGAATAATTTATGAACCTATAAATCTTGAAAACTATTGAACAAGAGGTAAAGATTAAGAAGACAAGACGATGATTAGCTATGATTTCTCAAATATGGCCCTAGATATGAAAGCTGAAGGACATACTATAGTGAAATATGAGAAACTAGAAAGTTAAATGCAACTTACCGCGGTTAGAGTGTCAGGATGGGAAGTCAAATCATCCCCAGCGTGAAGTGGGATTAAGGCCCCAGGAGACTTACTACATACTATGTCCTCAGTGGAATTCAAGGGTGCACTACATTTTAAGAAATTAAACTCTGTATTCCCCATTTGCGCAACACACAGATTGTAGGAATAAGGCAAAGTCCCCTCATAGTTGACTGGAATTCTAGGTTCTGACTTGGAACAGAGACCATGCTGTAAGCAACCCCAGGCGATGGGGCTGGAGGACTGTCGCAGACGAAGAGCAATTGCTAGAATCACTGCAAGAAGAAAGAGCACAGAGATCAAGGCCAAGGCCACCACCAGGTAAAACTGCAGCTCCTCCTGCGGGTCGGAAGGGACAGGATGATCTGTGAGATCCGGCAGCGCCTCTTGTAGGCTGTCCGCAAAGACTAGGAGCAGCGTGGCGGTGGCCGAGAGGGGCGGTTTTCCACCATCCCGCACAGCGACCAGCAG